TAGATACCAGAGACAAGCCTTACCTACCCTCTTAACTTTTACCCTTTCAGATGGAGGAATAATCACCTCTCATAACTTCCCTCCTCCTCCGTGGCAATGGTTCTACCTCAACGTGGTCCTGATACAATGACATATCCAAATCAAAGGCACCTTTCCTTCTACCTGTCCTGGGTCCTTAAATATGATAATGGCCTGCCTCCTCATAATACCTTGTCTTTTTGTTTTTCCAGTCTAACATACGGGCATTCACCAGTGATAAAGTTGTCCTGGCTAAAACACCTGGCACCAGCTTCTACCTGGGCATCAACCGTCATCCTGTCGACACTCCTAAACCCCAGTACAGCGCCCCCTTCCAGCAGGAAACAGTAAAAGAAAGAAAATCTTCGCCCTTTTTCCTAATAATCAAAAGATGGGAATGAAAGGATTTTGCCCCAGTTGGGACACTGTAGCCGGTGGGAAGCTTGGAGGTGGAACCAAGGGGCTCTATCTTCCCCACCCCTTAGGCACCACCCCAAACCTAAGCTACATGTATGCCCCCACACCATGTGTCTGCCAGGGAGAATGCCAGACCCTTGAGAGAATGCCAGACCCTGGAGGGTCAGGGGGCATCTCCCCACATTCCTAAAATAAAAGTCATTTACATTTCATACTTCTTATCTTTTCAGCCGCGCCAAAATCCTATCAGATGGTTCCCTTCCGTGCCGAAAAATTCTATCACTCCCTGTGCTCCTTGTCAGGAGGGTGTGCTGTGGCCCCAGTTGTGGGCAATCAGAGATAGGCACAGGGATGTGGGACGGTCTCTGAGGGGCCTTCTCTGAAGGTGGCTTCCGGGCTTGAAGGGACTCAGCAGGGATCCAGGGGACTGAAGATGAAGGAATAGGGCTGGAGAGCCATCTATTTCTTCCTGGCAACAAGTATCCACTGCATGTGCCTCTGTCACCTCTGTGGCTGTGACATGGAGGATCCCCAGGACCCGCTCTCCAGAGGAACCAGAAGAGGCCCCATGTGGGTGGCCCCTTCCTTAGCCTACCACAGGCTCCTGCTCCATGCTGCACACAGTGTATGCCAGCCTGTCACTGTGGTTACTCTGTCAAGCGAGAGAGCACGACCCAGGTGGAGCAGCAACCTTGTGGGCAAGAAGTCTTGGGACAAAAAGTGATACAGGAGAGTGAGACTCCCAATCTACAATATGTCCAGTACGAGTTCATGTTCTCTAAAATCGAAGAATGAATTTTAGGAACAACAGAGGTTAAGAGCAGAGAAAGAAAGCTTCTGTCTGAGAGACAGAGGGGTTCTGAGTGGGTTATCAAAGACTGTCTTTTCTAGGCGATTTTATAGAGTAAAACTACAAAGTGAGGCATGTCTAAGGTGAGGAAAACCTGGGAACTCCCAAGGTGGGACAGAACTACGGTCAACCGAGAAGGTTAACTGCTCAGGTAAAAATGATTAAATGGGGGACAAACAGGGATAGAAAGCTGGCATGCTTAAAGAGCAGTGACTCTTCCTGTAGGGGGCTGGAGTGGTGCCTCTGGACTTCCTGGGGTGCTAGAGACCAATTTAGAATATCAGTCCTCAGAATGTGGATGCATTTGTTTGATCTTTTGTCTTGAGGCTTGGCCTACAGCAGGACGCCTCTAAAAGTTGGCAATTGGATGCCCCTGTGCGTTCTGAAAATGACTTCCGTCACTCCTGTCTTGGTGACTTCAGGCTTTAAGGGGAACAAGATAGGCTAGATAAATTTAGGGCTAGTAAATCTTGTCTGTTACTTTTTCCTTAATGACCAACATGCCTGTACCCAAGGTTTTTTGTTTTTTTTTTTTTTTTTTTTTTTTTTTTTTTTGTCTTTTTCCTTTTTATCGGTACCAGCGATCGAACTCACGACTGCCTGCTTGCAAGGCAGACGCTTATGCCGCTGAGCTAAATCCCCAGCCCCCTGTACGCAAGTTTTAAGGCAATACTTAAGGATACCAAATGAAAGTTAAGCTTTGTTCTACTTATAGTTATCTATTACAACCTGCTAGGCCTAAGGAAAAAGGTGGGGTAAAGCTGCTAAGTTCCTGACTCTTTCAGAAGAAAACACAATCATGCTTTAAGTGGCTAACAGGTGAAGGGCTCAGGAGTTGAATTATTTGTTCTCTGTTCCTTTGGTAGTGTCTGACTATGTCATGAGCATATCAAGGCCTGTGACTGTGACCCCCAGTTGTTTGCTACCCTGCAGCTTTCTCTTTGTCTCTGCTCATGACACATTATGGCCACTGTGACCAGCTGATGTGATCTGTGGCCTGGGGAGTGAGGAACCCCAGCCTTACGTTGATTTCCCAGAGAAGGGCTGGAGGATGAGTGTGGGAGGTCAGAGGAAACCCAGGACCTCCTGACCTCACCTAGCTGGCCTCCTCCTGGCCACTTACCTTGCAGGTGTCTCTGGCACTTGAGTTATCATCCCAGCTGTGTGTATTGAGCCACAGCAGAAGCCTGTGGCCACAGATGGCGCTCCGTAGTGGTCAGTTCCACTCCACTTGCCTCATGCACTGAGTCAGCTGTGAAGCTCTTGCTACACTCAACCAGGATCGCATCGAGCTTCCCCCTGCCTCTCAGCACTCAGAGCCCCCTCAGTGCAGCTGTACCCTTCAGTGCAGCTGTACCGATGGGATCAAGGTTGTGCCTGAAACCTTCAGCTTCCATCCCCAGCAGCACCCAATGGCTCCATCATGACCACCAAGTCCTCCCCCACTGGCCTCTAGCTTGGGTGTCTACACTGGGAAAAGGATCCAATTGGGTTAGGCTTTTGCACTCCCACCCCCACCCTAGGCAGAGGGCTCTCACGTGGCTCCCAGATTCATCTTTAGTCCCTGACATCGAGTCCATGGATGGGCTTCAGAGAGTGTGAGAAAGCACTACTTTCTTAATTTTTGGATGTCATATTGTCATTTAGCTTTCGTGTGTGTGTGTGTGTGTGTGTATGTGTGTGCGTGTGTGTGTGTGTGTGTGTGCTTTTTTTAGGCTTGTGGTCAGGTTAAGGCAAGAGCAGGGGTGTGGCAAGAATGGACTCCCAGACCTGTTCCTCTTTGTAATCATCCTGTTGCTCACAGATCGGGTGTGTCCCAGGCTGCCTGAGGACTTGGACAGCTAGAGTTGCAGTCCTGCTACTTTAGACTTTTCACATTTTGTGCTTTTCTTTCCTTGTTTTTTTTGAGACAGGGTCTTGCTATGTAATCCAGGCTGTTCTCAAACTTGCTCTCCTCCTGCCTCGGCCTCCTAAGTGCTGGGATTATAGGCATGCACCACCATGCCCAGCTCAACATCGTGTGATTTTTAACAATATTTTTCATGACTCAGTTGTCCTAGTTATGCACGAACTGCGTAGGTCACAAGGAAACACTGTGGAGGGGTATAAAGTCTGTGCCAATTCTACCTCCCGCACCCGCCACACAGCAGTGGCATCGAAACCCACGTATCTGACATTACAGGCACTTACGTAGCTTGGCAAGTCAAGCATAGCTGTCACTGATAATACTGTGTCAGCCTACCTACTTGTGTTAGGTAGGCTGGGAAAATAGGTGTTTATTGTCATTAAGCAGACATACACGTTTTCTTGTAAAATGATTTAATAAGTTACAATATCAAAGTAAAGGAAGTCTCATTACTTGTATACATTATGTATTTTATAGTCAGCCCAAGGCAACTGCTCTTCCCTCAGGGCAGCCCTGGCACCGGGACAGGGATGGTCTGCTAAGCATTCTCCTTCCTGGGAAATTCAGGTTCCCCACTGCTCCTCATCAGAGATGTCGCGCCCCCCCTCCCAAGACACTATCCTGAGATAGCAATGACACTCTCATTTGAGAGTGTTCATGATCATTGCATAACTCACTCCCACGGACCAGTTACTGTAACTGACCCTTTGCAGAGCCAAAGGTTTTGCTCAAGATAACATGGTGGCACATGGATGAGTTGCATGAGAACCCGGCCTCCTGCTTCTCCATGTAGCTTTGGCATCAAGCTGCAGCATCACGGTGTCATGGGTGAACTGAAAAAATACACATTTCTGGGAACTTCACCATGATCAGGCCACGCCAGTCTCCAGCTATGATATCCTCTTGTGTTCATGCTTGGTTTGATAAGGTCAATATCCAAAGCTTCTCGGGTTGGATTGAGCTTTAGTTAATCCACGATGACAATATGTATCATAGATTTTTTAATGTGAGAGCGGGTCTCTTACTGTTGCCTAGGCTAGCCTCAGACTCCTGAACTCAAGTGATCTTCCTGCCTCAGTTTCCCAAGTGGCTGAGACCATTGGAGTGTGCTACCATGCCCACTGTCATGGAAATGTCCCCAAGGTCTACCAGATTTTATTCGTGAGCTTTCTAGCAGCAGAAGAGTGAGTCTCCTGGGCAACGTATTCTTATGCCCAGGAGGAATGAGGAAAGCGAAAATCCCAGGAGAGCAGGGAAGGCCATTCCTGGGGTCTCACTGCAGCACAGGGTGCCCTGTGGGTGGACGCTCAGAGCTTTGTGAGCTGTCAGGTGATGTGTGCCATGCTAGGACCAGAGCTTCCTGTGCTACGTAGCAATCCATGCAAGCTGGGAGACACCCATCCTGGCCACGTATGTGAGTGTGCATGCAGAGTCTGTGTGATCAGGGGAACAGAGTCTTTGCAGGGTCCACAAGTCCTTTCTCGGGCCCATGGGGCCACACAGGAAGGAAGGTCACAGCATGAGAGCCTCTTAGTCAAACTGAAGACACAGTTCAAGACCAGGGACCAGTCAAGGACTCTGGGACCAACTCAGGGGGCCACGCGTAGGCTGAGGTTCATTGGAGGGAGCTTCATGGTAGACACTAGCCAGGGGCAGGATGTGGGCACCTGTTGCCCGTCATAGCAGAATTGTCATCCTGACCACAGAACACAGGAAGAATAACTGGGCCCCGGTCAGAAGAAAACCCTGACTCATATCCGGCTGTGAGGGTGGGGAGAGGAGTTCTGTGGGTTTTGGGGAGGGATGTCTCCTACAAGGAAAGCCACAGGACCTGCTTGTTTAACTGGGGTTCACAGGCCGGCACCCATGGAGCTCCTGGGTGTCTCAACTAATACTTGCAGCTGGGTTCCTCGGTTTCCTCTGTCTCAACCCCAGCCCCAGGAACAGAACCAAAAGAAGCTGAACAAGGGAACAACAAGGCCTGAAGAAAGCAGAAGTAGAGAAAGCACTGATCTTCCCCTGGCTGGGCTGCAGCCTGGGACCCAGTTCTGCTGGCTGCAGGTCCCTAGGTGGGCAGGATGTCCCCCGGCCAGGGGCTACCTTGGGCTCTGCTGCTTCTCTGGCTCCCAGGTGAGGGGCTGTTCCCCAGGGAGGGTCTGCAGGAGGGATGAAGGGCCTGAGACTGCAGGCAGGGTCCCTGGAGGCACTCTCGTTCATGCAGAGCACAAAGCAGAGTCGCTGTGTCCCCGTGCAGAGCCAGGCTGACTTCAGGACCACACTGTGGGAAGGTGGGCAGGGTCTCCCTCCTCTGCACCCACCTGACTCTGCACCAGCCCCAGCGTTTACAGTGAGGGCTTAAATGAAAAGAGCAAAGTAATATGGTTATGTTTTTCTCCACAGCCCCTTCAGCATTTGTTATTGCTTGGTTTCTTGAGAGTGGCCATTCTTTCCAGTGTGAGGTGGAATCTCAGTGTTGTTTTAAATTACATCTCTTGAATGACCGATGATATTAAACATTTTTTTCACATATTTATTTGCCGTTCATATTTCTTCATCTGAGAACTATGAATTCATCTCAGATACCCATTTTTGGAGAGTTTTTTTAATCCGGGAGGACTGATTTTTCTGAGTTCCTCATATGTTCTCGATAGTAATCCCTTGTCTGAGGTACAGTTGGCAAACATTTTCTCCCACATTGTGAGTTGTCTCTTCACTCTGTTGGTAATTTTGTCTTGCTGTGCTTTTCAATAGGATGAGATCCCAGTTGTTGATTTTTTGTGATAGCTCCTGTGGATTGGGGTTTTGTTCCTAAAGTCTTTGCCTACACCAATGTGTTCAAGTGTTTTACCTACTCTATCTTCCAGCAGATTTAATGTTTCTGTTTTAATATTAAGACCTTTGATCCATTCTGATTTTAGCTTGGTACATGGTGAAAGATACTGGTCCAGTTTTAATCTTCAGCATGTGTACGGACAGTTTTTCTAGCACCATTTATTAAAGAGGCTGTCTTTCTTCCAGTGATATTTGGCACCTTTGTCAAACTTAAGGTGGCTTAGTGTGTCTGGAGTTGTTTCTGCATCTTCTAATCTGTTCCACTGATCTTCAGGTCTGTTTTTTTGTTTTGTTTTTGCCTGTATCACACTGCTTTTTTTTTTTTTTAAAATCACAGTAGCTTTATAATGTAATTTCAAGTCAGGGATTGTGATATCCCTTGTCTTACCTTTGTTGCCCAGAACTGAATTTGCTCTTCTATTTCTCTTCTGGCTCTAGGTGAATTTTAGTATTGTTTTTTCTAATTCTGTAAGATATACTATTTGAATTTTGACTGGGATTGCATTGAGTCTGTATAACAGTTTTGGAAGTATGGCCATTTTCACTATATTGGTTCTTCTTACCCAAGAGCATGGAATCTCTCTCCATTTTCTAATATCCTATCAATCTCCTTTTTCAGAGTACTGTAGTTTTTAAGATAGAGGTCTTTTTTGTTGTTGTTGTTCTTATTTTTGTGGGATCAAACCCACAACTTCGCTCTTGTCAGGCAGGCGCTTATGCTGCTGAGCTAAATCCCCAGCAATGTAGAGGTCTTTTGCGTCCTTTGTTAGATTAATTCTTGGGTACTTCATTTTCTGGATGCTATCATAAAAGGTGTTGTTTCCCTGATTTCTCTTTCAGTGAGTCTGTTATTTGTGTACAGGAAGCTATTGATATTTGAGTGTTGACTCTGTAACCAGCTAAGTTACTGAATTTGGTTATTAAATTTTTTGGTGGACTTTTTGGGGTCGTCTAGGTAGAGTATCATGTCATCTGCAAATAACAATAGTATAACTTCTTCCTTTCCTATATTTATTTCTTTCATTTTTTTCTACAGCTAAAGATTCCAGGACTATATTGAATAAGAGTGGAGACAGCTTTCAGTTTTTGTCCATTTAGTAGGACGCTGGCTGTTGGTTTGTTGTAGATATCATTTATCAGATTGAGGTAAAGACCATCTATTCCAATTTTCTGTAGGCTTCTTATCATGAATGGGTGCTAGACTTTGTCAAAAGCTTTTTCTGCATCCATTGAGATGATCATGTGGTTTTTTTCCTTGGCTCTGTTAACATGGTATGTTCCATTTATGGATTTACATGTGTTGAACCATCCCTGCATCCCTGGGATGAATCCCACTTAATCATGGTGTGCAGTCTTGATGATTTGCTGCAGTCTGTTTGCCAGTATCTTACAGAGGATTTTTGCATCAGTGTTTACTAGCCAGATTGACCTGCAATTCTCTTTCTTAGTTAGGTCCTTCTCTGGTTTCGGTATTATGGTAGTGCTTACTTCCAGGAATGAATTTGGAAAATATTGCTTCCTGTTCAATTTCATTAAAGAGTTTGAGAAGTAGTGATGTTAGGTCTTCTCTAAATTTCTTGTAGAACTCAGCAGTGAATCCATCAATGCTTGGGCTTTTCTTTTCTTTTCTTTTTTGTCTTTTTCCTTTTTATCGGTACCAGGGATTGAACTCACGACTGCCTGCTTGCAAGGCAGGCGCTTATGCCACTGAGCTAAATCCCCAGCCCCACCTGGGCTTTTCTTTGTTGATAAGATTTTTAATTACATCTTCAATTTCATTCATTGATATTGGGTTATTTAGGATTTTTATATCTTCTTGATTCAGCTTTGGTAATTCATACGTATCTGGGAATCTGTCCATTTCTTCCATATTTTCCATCTTGTTAGAATACAAATTTACAAAGTAGGTATAGACAATTTTCTGGATTTCTGCAGAGTCTACTGTGATTTGACCCTTTTCATTCCTAATTGTGTGGATTTGAGTCTTTTATTTCCTTTTTTTGATAAGATTGGAAAAAGGTTTGTCAATTTTATTTAATCTTTCAAAGAACCGACTCTTCAGTTCATTGATTTTTGTATTTTTTTTCTTTTATGGTCTCTAGTGTGTTAATTTCTGCTCTGATCATTATAATTTCCTCCCTTGTACAAGCTTTTGGTTTAGCCTGCTCTTCTTTTTCTGGAAGTTTGAGGTTCAACATTTGTTTACATGTGCTTGCTCTGCTCTCCTGACGTGGGTATTTACTGCTATAAATTTCCCTCTTAAGGCTGCTTTCCACAAGTTATGGTATGTTACATTGCTATTATCATTCAACTGTAAAAACTGTCTAACTTGTTCTTTAGTTTCATCTGTGCCCCATTGGTTGTTCAGGATGGTACTATTTAATTTCCGTGTGTTTATGAAGTTGTTGTGGTTTCCTTTGGTGTGGATTTCCAATTTCATTGCACTGTGGTCTGATAGTGTGCGAGGGATAATTTGAATTCCTTTGCATTTACTTAAGCGTGTTCTATGAGCCAGTGCATGATCTCTTTTGGAGAATATCCTGTGTGGAGCTGAGAAGAATGTCTTTTATGATGTTGTGGGGTGGAACACTCTATAGACATCTACTAAGTCCATTTGTTCAAAAGTTTGACAGTCCCTACAATTTCATTATTGATTTTTTGTCTAGTTGATCTGTCTTTTTGTGACAGTGGGGTGTTGAGGTCTCCTAATACAATTTATTAGGGCTTATTTAATTTTTCATGGCCATTAGTAATTGTTTTATATAGTTGAGTACACTTGTATTTGTTGCATATTTATCCTCTTGGATTGTTCCCTTTATAATGATGTAGTAACCTTCTTTCTCTCTCTTAATTGGTCTTGGCTTGAAATTTACTTTGTCTGCAAATAGAATAGCTACTCCTGATTTTTTCTGGTTTCCTGTTGCATAGAGTGTTGTTTTCCACCCTTTGACTTTAAATCTATGAATTTTTTGCATTAAATTTGTTTCTTATATGCAACATATTGTTGGATCTTGTTTCTTGATCCATTCTGCAAGTCTATGTCTTTTGATTGGTGAATTGAGACCACTAACATTGATGGTTATAACCAAATGGATTGACTTGTCCTTGCCATGTTATTTTCCTATTATTACCTCCCTCCTTCTCCCCGACTTGTTTGCCTTCCCTGGAGAATTCCTTCTGTTGGGATTCACGGAGCTGTTGTCCTTATTATCTTTTTCTAGAATGTTCTTCAGAATATTTTGGAGTGATGGTTTGGTGATCATAAATTTTCCTCAGATATTCTTTGTCATGGAAGTATTTTATTTTTCCATCAATTTTGAAAGATAGTTTTGCAGGGTACATCAATCTGAGTTGAAGGTTGTTTTTATTTAGAACTTGGAGTACTTTACTCCAAGCTCTCCTTGATTTGAGAGTTTGTGCTAAGAAGTCAGCTGTGATTAAGCTGTGATTTTGATGGGCTTTCCCTTATAGGGAATTTGCTTCTTTTCTCTAACAGCTTTTAGAATTCTATTCTTGTGTTGAATTATTGGAATCTTTTATGATATGCCTGCCTATAGATTTTTTTTTTGATCATTGCTAAATGGAGTTCTCTATGTCTCATTTATCTGCATGTCAAATTCTTTTTCTCTACCAGGAAAGTTTTCTGTCATGATGTCTGGTGAAGATGTTTTTAATGTTTTTTGTAGTCTCTCTTGCTTATTCACTCACTCCAATCAATCTTAAGTCATTCTTCTTTGTCTCATCTAGCACCTGCTGGGTTGATTTCTCCTGATCTCTTGCTATTTTTGAGAAATTTTTGTTTTCCTAGATGCTAACTCAACCCTGTCTTCAGTATCTGAGATCCTGTCCTCACATTGGCCTAATCTGCTTCAAATACTTTCAGTGGAGTTTTTATTCTCCTGGATATCTATTTGAAACTGTTTCTTTAAAATTTTATTTTGAAAGTAGCAAAATACAACAGAACAAGACAGAACAAAGCCAACTAGATCGTACGGTGAAATTGGTACAAAACTTCACAGCAGGTTACTCGGATAACAGTAATAGATATCACAGTATATTTCATTATCTTTTCAATAGTTGTTCTTTCAATCATGTATATCAAAATTAAATGAAATACAGAACATTATAGAACTTATCAAAATAGGATATTGAATGGAACAGTATCATTAATGAGAATAGAACAAAACAGTAATAAAAATATTTGCCTTCAAAGAGATGGTAGAAGGAAATCCCCCTTATTTGCTATGGTCAACCTCCCAGGAGATGCTCAGATTTCTAGTTCCCATTTGCTAACGGAG